CATATTATACTGTGTACATGAGGGGAGGCTCAAAACCACTTATTTCTACAGCACTGAGGTAAAACATACAAATGCTGTAAAAGATATGTAAAACTAATGTACTGCATAATCAAAAGACTGCAGCATCACACCTCTAATAGCACTGTGTGGAACCTGCCCACAAGAGTGGGCTCTGCACCTCCCTGAGAGTCAAGGCAAGATTCCCAACCCACAGTTCACCTATGGACTGAGGTAGCAATGGTGGAGACGTGGACGACACCCTTGAGGCCACAGGTGTAGCCATGGCCAGACTGGAATTTGAGGAGGAGAGACAATCAGGAGAGGAGGACTGTTGGGTTGATGCCATAGACTGGGAGATGTGTGAGTCGCAGGAGGTACTGCCATTGCCAGAAAAGTTGGTGGCTGTATGGGAAACTGTATGTTGTCACAATCTCAAGACAGGGTGCTGGGTTGAGCTACTGGTGCCACCTGAGGCAGCTACTCAGGTCTGTTGGGGGCAGGTCAAGAGACAGGAGGCTCGGAGGCTTGAGAACCAGCATCAGGCTCGTCACAGGCAGAGGAAGCAACAGAGGCAAGAGGCCCCATCGCAGAGACCTGCCTGTCAACCTACCTACAGATACGTAGACAACCAGCATCCCGCCCACTCTGCACCTCGCTCCATGGGAAAACCTAGCCAGTTCTGGCCAGAGTTTGGCCATGCCTCTCAAGAAACTACTATACTTACCAGGTGGCAGCAACCAGGAAAACTTTGTGTGGAATCAGTGTGTGAGCAGGGGAAGGGGCTGCTCACACACTGATTCCACACTCCCAGCTTTCTTCTGGAAAGGAATAAATATTTATCAATTTGTTTCAATTAAAATGTTGGTTTTACAATGTTACATTTGATTACTTTGTGGTGCCACTGATTCTTTGCCTGTTCTGTCCATTTTTTTTCACTTTTAAATTATGCACAACCAGTGTACTGCTATAATAAAGACTGTTGAGCAGTAACACTATATTCACCATAATTACATCTGTTTTTTTCTCTGATGAATATAGGAGGCATATTTCCTTGCCAAATCAAGGAAGTTATCTCACTTTCTTTTCTTTTCCTTTTGGTAATGGAAGGAATTCAGTAGCAGATTATGACTTTTTTATCATGCCTCCAGAACTGTAAATCTGAAATCCCTGTTCTATAAATTACATCAAATAAAGCTGATTATGTAATCCGCCATGTCAATATTTTGGGAAAGGAAATTTTCCAATCTCCACTTCCACACACCCAAAACAAAGGTTTCAAGACTCCCGTGGAGTTCCTTTCATCATAGGAAAGCCTTACTCAGCATAGCTGTGCAGACAAGATTTCAACCACTAAGAAACAACTGATAAAAGAGCTTTATAAGTGGAAGGCCTATTTTGGAATATTTTGAAACCAGAAATATATAATACATGGCTCCCCGCTGTGTTAAGGATGGATTCCTCGCATTACAGGCACCAGAAAATGGCCGCCCTATGGAGGATCTTCGCTGGACGTTGAGGTGTTTCACCCATTAGAATGCATTAGCTGGTTTTTAATGCATTCTAATGGGTTTTTTACTTTCACTTGACGACAATTTCATTGTACAGCGATTTTGCTGGAATGGATTGTCGTCAAGCGAGGTACCACTGTATATATCTGTAACAAATGTACAAGGTACAAGCTAAAATTTCTCTGTGATCTATACCAGTGGTCCCCAAGATTTTTGCCTCCATGGACCGGTTTAGCGTGGGAAGGGCCGTGCATGTGTGGGAGGAGCCATGCATGCATGGGAGGGTGTGCATGTGTCTGTGCGCGCAATGGGCAGAAGATTTGTTTCTGTGGCCCAGTCCTGGCAAGACCACAGACCAGGACAAGTCCACGGACTGGGGGTTGGGGACCCCTGATCTTTTAATCATAATATATAATCATAATCAGAAGCTTGTTAACTGTGACTATTTTCCTATTATGTACCGCAAAAAATGTAATTTGTATTAGGTTTTTAAAAAAACCAAAATATGTTCTTTTTCTGGCTTTTATTTCATTTGCTTAAAATTGCCATTTATTAAATGTATGCTTTTTGTTAAGCATAAAAAACCATACATTTAATAAATGGCAATTTTGAGCAAATAAAATAAAAGCCAGAAAAAGAACATATATAGAGAGAGTTCATATAGTAAATAGCTTTAAACGGTCATAACAAATATCAGTTGTGGTGTAGAGACCCTTCTTTCCCAAAGACTTTGGAACATGTTTCGAGAAAAGTCATCCAGACACTTTCAAATTATTAAGTAGAAATGCAAGGCTTGTATACTTTGTAAAACATTTCGGATCCAACTAAATTATTCTGTATTACATCCCTGTGTTCTTGTTTGCTGAGAAAGCAGTTCATACCACTGAACAGCCTATGTAACAGCTCACCTCCTTCTGGATTGGCTTTGTTTTCCTTTTAATAGTAGTAACTATTTTGTTTTGGGGAGAATGTGTCAGAGTATTGAGAATTTTTATAGGCCTGAACAGGTCCAGACTGTAATATTAATGAACTGCCATGATGATCGCCTGTGCAAGTGCTGAGTCACAGTGACTAAGAAGAAGAAGATGCAACATCTGTGGATGATGCAACACTCATGCAACACATGAAGTGATTGGACAGAGGCATCAGCTCAACTGTATATAAGTTAACATTGTGAATATGAATGTATCTTCTCCTTCTTTTCTCTATGCTACTATCCTCTATGCACTTTGCCTCTATTTTTGCTGCCACGCCGAAGGTCTGCTGCTTTGTATATCTGTATATATTTTTGTTAATACACGTGTCTTTTTGTAGAAGTGTGTGTGTGTGTTTCTTCAATCAGAACTCTGCACATTAACAGCAAGAAGCTGACAGAACAGGAAGAGAGTTATATTTCAAATACATAGACTGCAACGTTTTCAAACCCGAGCTCCATCCTTAAAATATATCAGTGCATATATTGAAAAGTCTCTGCATCTGATAAAGTGTTAGGAAAAGTGCCTGAATAAGTATGGTGGCTATGGGGAGAAGTGGCTTAGCAAAAGTTCTACAATAAGTATTGTTTTAGAGACAATGTGCTACTATATCTTGGAGAATATATATAGCAAACCTGGCCCTATTCAGTAAGGTGCTTGTGGCAAGCAGGAGCTGCTGAGGGAGGTAGAATGGAGTAAGGTGCATGGGCCATATGATCTCCTGGTTACCTCCCAATGCTTCAGGTAACAAATACTGTACTGTCTTGTCAGCACTGCTGGAACAAACTGCAGCTACCACTGTGAGCAACATTTATATATGTAACAGGGAAGGGAAGGAGGCATAATCTTGCTTTTTGCCTCAGATAAAATATTTGGGGCCAGTCCCAGTTCAGCAGCTGAAAACCACATTAGGTTAGGTAATGACCCAACTAAGATCATGTCCATTGGTCCCATCACCTCCTGGGAATAGAAAGGGGAAGATACGGAGGCAGTGACAGATTTTACTTTCTTTGGCTCCATTATCACTGCAGATGGTGACAGCAGCCACAAAATTAAAAGACGCCTGCTTCTTGGGAGGAAAGCGATGACAAACCTCGACAGCA